TTCCAGGGAGGAGTGGAGCTCAGAACCTACATTGCCAGGGATCTGTACTTTTCAAGTACAGGTGACCATTCCATAGGCTCTACCAGATACTGTGCCATAAAACAAATCAAAATATTGCAGATGACTAAAATTAAATGGAGCACATATTCTGACGATAGATGATAGGGGAATTAAATTAAAATTAAGAACCAAAGAATTAGAAAAGTTCCAAACATTGAGAACTTGGGAAAAGTTCTTCCATATAATATGTGACTCAAAAAATAATCACGAAGAAAAAAATTTTAATTTCAAAATGGCCAGGAATGGAAAACACAACATATTAATTTCTATGGGATTCCGTAATACAGTGCTTAGAGGGGAATTTACAGCTTAGGTCTTAGGAAAGGAGATTTAAAACCAGTGATGTGCACTCCACTTTATAATTCAAGGAAATAAACAGGAAATCAAGTATAAAGTGAGCACAAGCAGGAAATATGAAAGATAAGAGCAAAAACAGCAGAGAACTTCATGAAGCAATGTTATATGATCTTTGCCAGTTTTTTCCACTTGTGGAATGTGTACTTCCTGTTCCAACAAATTTGGGGACTGGCCAGACCCCAGAGCCTTGTCCTTGAGACACACACATCAGGCAACCTCTCCATTGAACTCAAAACTGTGACTACCACTAGGTTCTTTGAGCTTATCACACCAATGGACCAACCAATGGAGACTAAAGTGGTGATACTAGAGGGAGAAACTGTCATCAATGACCTGGAGGAGTGAAAGTTATTGCTATACACTGGAATTTTCTAGGAGATGATCCAGCTCAGGGACTTTAGGAGCATCTCTTGCTGCTTCCATGCCTCGTGACAAGAGTAAACAATGACATGTTCTAGCAAAGACATGAATTCTCCTACCTGGTAACAAATGAGATCAACCAAAGAACTGCCTGCAGGTACAGAGAGTAAAACCAGGTGCCTGAGGACAGAGATGAAGAACATCCAACCTGGCGTCCAAGCTTTTTTCAATATTAAGTCAATAGCTAAGTCTTTATGGAGCTAAGTTGTTGACCACCAGAAAGAGATGGCTGGAGAGTTGGGATTTACAAGTGAAGGAGAACTTGAACTTATCTGAGTGATGGGAGAAGCAGATTCCTTTTGGTTCCCATGTTTATTGAAGTACGGTGCTTTTTCACACTCTGAATGAGAATTTCTTGCCAACATCATTCCAACACTACACCACCAGCAGAGAACTGGCTTCCCTCCAAGAGGTAGACACTTAGTAGACATCAGTTTTCTGCAATTTCCCATTCGCTCAGCCTAGTCTCCCGAAGCAGAAACAGGCTCTAAGAGGATGCTGGTTACTCTAGCACAGAGCTTTGCCACCAGCCACATTCCTTTTGCTCCTGCATGGGCTTTCTCTGAAGCCATGCTAGGGCACCATCAGGGGAACACAAAGCCAGAGAGTGTGGACTTATGTGGGGGAGTCTCATGCCTAGGGTGGGGGGCAGCATGAGCAGTGGGGACAGAGGCCCATGGATAAAGCCAGGTGTGAAGTTGTGTGTGTTGCTCTTAAGATGTGGCCAACTTAATCAAACAGGTTTCATTAACTTTTCGTGCCTTTCTCTTTCACCCCCACCTGTCCTTTTCCCCTGCTGCCTGGGATCCTCTCCGGAAGGAATTTACTTAGCACCTCAGCATCTGCCTAGAGAGAGCCAGTCCTGGATACTGATCTCATAATAGAGAATGCATTTTCTCAGGCCACCCAGAGTGGCCTACATTCTTCCCTTCTTAGAAACCACCATGCCGCTGGGGGTTGGTGTGCTTGGTCTGCTATATCATTGGCAGAATTCAGATGTTGCATCTCCATGGATAAGGCTTTTTTTCCTTATTGATTTCATTGTTAAGAACCGCCATCCCCACCCCCCCGCCTTTTTGCACCACATTCTTTTTCTTTCTAAAGATTGGAATAACACACCCAATTTCTTTGAAACAAACAAGCAAAAAAAAAAAATTAGAGCTAATCTTTAGCCATTAACCCAGCTCAGAAGGTACCAGGCCAGTTTACAGTGTTTAGTGAAGTAGTGGGCTTGAAAGTGATCCTTCTTACCCTTCAGTTACTTATTTATTTTCTTTGCCATTTCGCAGAGTTGTGAAACCTTGTTTTCTTCCTTTTAGATGACAAAAGACTATTTTCACTGGCACTCACCCAGGGCATAGCAATAGTTAAACTTTCTGCTATGTGAAAGAGTCATATTTGTTTAGAAGTTACTCAAAAGGCCGTGAGAGCAGGCGACCTGTATTATAGGAAGTAGCCCCAGGAAACTCAGAATATTTTCTTCCCTGTCTTTTTGCCAGGATGCTGGCTTTTTCTTGGCTGATGGTAATCTGCAGTAAGGTCAAGATTTATTCTAGTTAGACTCTCTTCAGCTATCAGCCACACTGCTTTCTTTTTTTTATTTTTGAGTCACACCCAGCAATTTTCAGGGGATACCCCTGGCTCTGCACTCAGGAATTACTCCTGGTGGTGCTCGGGGGACCATATGGGATGCAGGGGATTGAACTCGGGTTGGCTGCATGCAAGGCAAATGCCCTTCCCACTGTGCTATCGCTCCAGCACATACTGCTTTCTTATAAGCAATGGCTTAATCTTATGAGACAAGCAGATACATTGAGAGACAATAATATATTTAGTTTAGTTTTTCATGATGATAAAAGTGTTTTTTCATCATCTCCCAAGGTTAATTTTGGAAGAGTAGACAACAAAGAAAAAATGATTAATTGATGACATACATTAAATCTATCACTCTTGAGGAGAGATCCAGATTCTGTTTTTAAGAGCGGGGGTTAGTAGGGACAGCAGAATAGACTTCAAAAGAGAAACTGCCCTCTACCTATTCATAGGGAGGAAATCATTACAAACAGAAAACTGAAATCAAAAGGTGGGACAATGAATTTGAGAATATATATTTAGTTGAAACCAAAGATAATTCCCATCATTCCCTGATGAGGGCACTTGACCCACAAAAGACACCAGATCTAGATTCTCATGCTGAGTCACAGGAGGAAGAGTTATGGCTTTACTTTGTCACTGAGTTTGACACTTGCTCCTGGAGTCAGGGTTGTCTTTACTAGATTAAGATGTGTCTATTTAGTCTTAGCTTGCCCAGGGATTTTTATACTTTTTAAGTAATGAACTAATGTTTCATTTAAAAAAAAGAGTAATCGCTTTAGGTATCTTCACCTGAGTCTAAGAAGCTATCTGGTTTTCACCAAGAGTATCCAAGAACAGTTTCAAACATGGTGTGGCGTCGGCATAATCCATCAGAGGTGAGACACAAGACGGAAGGTGCTCTGCCAGAAATTCAGACGTGTTTACTCTGCACCTTCAGATATTGGGGTCGCTTTCCTCATGGGAACTGGTGGATGGCGCTCACAGGAGAATATGAGGTGCCACAAGGGTCCAAAAGCACCCACTTGTGTGTTGTGCTGGAATAGAGAGATCTGGAAGCCTGGCCAAGGCATAGAGCCTTTCCAGACACTCAGCATCAACCTCACAACTGAGGGGCCGAGGTCTGGGGCGATCTCTTGGAGCAACACCTCTGAGATGGGCAGTTCCCTGCTGCTGGCTCCCCTCCCGGTCTCCAGGCTGTGACAAGGGCGGTGCTGTGCTCTCCCCCAACCCTATCTCACTCTGTTCCCTCAGACTATCTCACCCCAGGATGTCCTCCACCTGCCTCTGGGAGCAGGTGATTGGAACTTAACTCTTTGGAAATCCATGGGAGTAGTTGTCAACTTGTTAAGAGGTAACTTCCTAGAAACTAGGAAACACTAGCAATGAAACAACTTTTGCATCTTTCTTTGTGCCTGTTTTATAAATAGGGACAATACCTGGCATTATTGAGGGTTTGGGGGCTGATCCCTTGGTGATTCTTCACCAGAAGATACAAGCTTTATGGGGTGGTGCTAGAGTCCAGTGATATTTGGGGAGGGGAATTCCCCAGAGCTATTTCTGGTGCTGCTGGAATGGGAGGTACATGTGGTGTCAGGGATTGAACTCAGGGCTTACCATTTGAGCTCATTTTACAGTACCTTCTTTACTCTTTTTTTAAAAGCACTTGTTTATAGTCAAAGGATTCTGATAAAATATTTCAAGATATTTGTGTTTTCTGGATGACCCCCGATTAAAGTCAACTTTTAGAACCATTATACAGATTTGGTCAGTGCAATTTCCTGCAAAAGACATTGCTCTCTATTTCCTTCCAGAATAGTAATTGGATATGACCCATTATAAATGCACTTGTAATATGAGTTATGCAAAATAACGTATTTCTCTTGATTTCCAGTCTTCATTTTGTTTTTTAGATGCTGGTGTTTGAATATAGGACCTCACTAATGAGAGACATAGTGAGGGACCACAATGCTGGCATTTTTTGTGATATGGCATGTTAAAAATTACTGTATTCCAACCTATGTAAAAGAATAATAATGATTTTCACTACATGCCTTCAAGTAGTGAAATCTAATAGCAAATCTAATAGAAGGTAATCTTAAACATTGGGGCTGGGAGTTAGTACCACAACTAGGGTGCTTGCCCAGCATGAATCCAACTAAGGTTCAGTTCCTTAATTTAAAGCTACTTAATTCAAAGACAAATTCAGTTGAACTATTTTTCCAGAGTATAAATGAAGTAGCTGGTTAAAGCAGAACCTTCCATTTTTTAAAGCTGGCATCATGTACAGATCCAGAGGCAGAGCAGAACAAATTGATGATCCCTTCCTGGCAACAATAAAAGTTTCATTCCACTTAAATCCACCAAAAGAAAGTTGATATTTTTCACTTACAGATGATGTCTCCTCTGCTTACCACTCTAGGACTAATCAGAATCATTCACAATGCCATCTGTATCATTTTCTTCTTCTCCTCTAACCACTCACGTTTTTACTCTTTTTCTATTCTCACTGCTTAGAAAAAGAGTATCCCCAAACTTACCATTTCCAGAAAAAAAATCCCCAAACTTACCATTTCCACCAAAGATAAATATAGGAACATCCCAGCAGTAACTGTTAGGATCCAGTTTTGAACACAAGGATCTGTGGATACTGAAAGGCCAATGTAGAGACCAACAAAGGCTGTCAGAGCACTAACGAGATTCATCAGGATGGCCAGCTTTGTGGGAAGACCGGAGCTTAAGAGCACAGCAAAGTCTCCTGAAATTTGAAAGAAAGGAAAATGATCATGCTACTGATGATACCTTCAGTAGCATATAAGAAAGTATTAGGTTGTTTTAAATTTCCACAACTCTACAAATCTGATAACAGCTGAAAGTCAGTTCATAAAGTACTTTCTGCCATCACAATTTAATTAAGAAGCTGTGTTTCAAGAACTCTCTTCCTTTTACAGCTCCTGAACAAAGTCTAAAACTTTATAGCTCCCAGTGGTCTGTGATATATTCTTCTTACATCCATGCAAAATAAAATCGGTGTGGTCCCAAGCTCCCTAAGCATTTCTGTCTGGTCATTTTTGGGTAAAAACAGAAGTGGTGAACACTTTCAGGCTATTTCTTATTTCAGGTGAGAAATAACCACGAGAAAAGACCACCTAAATTGAAGATTTTTAAATCATTGCCAAAGTTGTTCAGCAAAACTAATTTTTCTCCCAAAATGTGTTTTATTGTCTTAATGATTTTAGGGTGTTGGGGGTCAGGGAACCATTTCCTCTCCATATCTTCCTAGCAAAAGAACGATGGCTGAATCTGAGAGCTTCTCACTCTTAGTTTGGTGAACAGAGAAGTGGCTGAAATCCAGTCAAGAGACACCCAAGGGTTGCATTTCCTCAGTTCATGGCCTAATTGGTTCTATGAAGAGGTCTTATTAATTTTTAAAAATATTATTTCACTGAATCGTCATGAGTACACAGTTACAAAGTTGTTCATGATTGGGTTTCAGTCATACACCATTTCAACATCCATCCTTTCACCCAGTGTGTATTCCTCACCACCAATGTCCCCAGCTTCCTCCTGTCACCCTACCACAGCCTGTCCCTATGGCAGGCACTCTCTCTTCCTCCTCTTTTTCTCTCTCTCAGTCTTTGTCTCTCTCTTTCTCTCTCCTTTGGGGCATTATGGTTTGCAATATGGCACTGAAAGGTTACCATGTATATCCCTATTTTCAAGCACTTAATTCTTGTCCAAAGTGATCATTTCCAATTAATTGTCATAGATGTCTCTTCTCTATCCTAATTGCCTTCTCTACCCCTTCACCCCACTTGTGGCAATCTTCCCACCATGGACCAGTCTCCCTGTCCCTCATTTCTACTGTCCTTAACATTAGTTTCATACTATGTTTTTTTATATATAGTATGAAAATAGAAATGAGGAAGAGGTCTTAGCCACACTCCCTGGCTGGCCTACTTTAGACTGCTCCATCCTCTGGGGTTTTGTTAGGGTAGTGGTGAAAAGAGGGAGCAGAGGACAAAGGCCCCTGCCCAGGAATATTCTAATGGATCCTGAAGGTCTTCAGATAAATTCCCCCAAGGGAGATGGGTCAATGATGAGTTGGTGACAGGATTATGGACCTTTGACATGGAACCCCATGAGGATGAGGGGTGCTCCATGGAGGAATGTACCCTGCTAATGGGGGCAGAGGAAGAAGAGCCCAAACTGTGTATCCACACCCTGCATGAGTGTGTCTCTGCTCCTCCTGGGACTCTTCCAGAAATCTCTCCACTATCTCATCTTGGGTCCTGGGAGGCAGGGTTTGAATTTCAGGGCTATTAAGATTATTCCCCCAAAAGAGTCTTAGGCGCATCTGCTACTATACGCTTGTCGCTTTAATTTTATGCTTGGTTTTCAACATGGGTTTTATTTTTTTTTTGTATAAATCAGGTTGATAAAACCACAGTTTGGCTTTAATTTAAATGTTATTTTATCTCATTGGCCTGTTTTCTCACACAGTGAACAAATTTTTCCTCTTCATGTCCCCCCCCCCCCCACCATTGAGTATACAGATATCCATCCTGCCAGAATTCTTTAGAGGAAAGATTCTCCGAATGTCCTTCTCCCAAAGAGAATACTCCAGAATTTGAAAGTCCCTCTGATGTTATAGCAGCAAGGAGTTTAATGGGATTGCATTCCAAGGTACAGGAACTTTCCCTCTAGATTTTCCCTTCTCCTGGTCTAAATAAGGTGTGAGCAGAAAGTATTCAGCTTTCCACTGTGCATTGGGAAAGGGATCATCCAAAGATAGAAATGGGGCAATAAGCAGTATACTGATGGCTGCATAGGACTTACCCATTTCATGTGGGATCTCGTGGCACAAGATAGCAATGGTTGTCGTCACACCCGACTCTGATGAAGATGAGAAGGCTGCCCCAATCACTAAGCCATCAGCAAAGTTATGCAAGCTATCCCCAACGAGAATCATTATTGCCAGCAGGCTCATGCTCTTGCCTGTGGAAAGGTGTGAGAAGCATTAGCAGAGCACTGCCTGTTCATGGAATGGAGCAGATGCAATCACACACTGACACTGACTTTCCTCACTACATCTGATCACGTCCAAAGAAGAGAACACACTCCACACATAACACTGGGGTATGTTTTGTGGAGTATTTTTTAAATGATTTAGCTGTATCTTTTGTGAAGCATTTCTAAAATAACTTAAGAATTTCCTTGTGGAGTGTCATTAAAATGGAGACTTTTTTTCCAGAACTTTCTGCTCTGAGTCAGACTATCCTTCATGTCAATCTGCAGACAGATGGTTAAGGAGTTTTCTGCCCTTTCTTGACCACTGCATATGTTGGTGGGTGTGAATACCATGTAGGAGTGCCCCACTCATTCCCCAACTGGGACCAAGACACCATCTCTATCAGTCCTGCCAGGTGCCCAAGTCAGCTCTGGGCCAGTTATTAAGTCCCTTGTTTATTCTGAAAGTAGCCTTCAGTACTAGATTGGCAAGACATTAAACATAATTAAGAGAAGTCATTTTTGTAGGGTTCTATTATATGATACACACTCTTTAGTTCATTGATATTCAATGGCATAACAAACCATAATGGGCTTCATTCATGAAATACCTCAGGTCACAATTGGGTTTGTGACAGAGTTGAAGAGCCAACAGAGACAAACAGTATTTCAGGGAGAACACTTCTGAAAGTAACCTACCCAGGTATGCATTTGCTATGTATGACTATTAAAATCAATTGCCAAAGTCTAAAACTTTATTAATAACTTCACTGCTGGCTACTTACTGTCAGGTGTAAATAGTAACAGCTGTTATTGTTAGAAAGGAACACAATGTTCTAATAATTACACTCTCAATTAAAACCAGAAAGGGTACTGGTTTCTGTTACATGGTCTAAGGCTGCAAGGGAGGGTGTCTTATAATATGGTTCGCTTTTTTATTGGGGGGATATGGTTTGATTCATTTCATATCCTGCACCATAAAATAAATAACTTCAGTAAACAGCTGAGTTAGCCCAGTCCAACAGCCAGGAGATCTATTAACTATATTAAAAATACATCCGTGTCTTTTACTTCCAAAAAATCATCCTTCATTTAGGACTCTCTCTGTAAGTCTGTCTTATATCGTTCTGTGGTTTACTAATTCATTTTATCCTTAGAAAAGGATAGAAAAAATGAACTTTTGGCAACAGTCAAAAAAACACAGAATAAATATCAAGTTGTTGAATTCTGGGAATGCTTACTGGCATTGCCTGGAAGCTCTCAGAATCTAATAATGCTTCCAGGTCACTGAGCTGTTCCTGCCAATTTTTAGAAATGAGACTTTGGTTGGTGAAAATAAAACAATGCATTTAACAGCATCATAACATGCAAATGAACTGTGATTTCCACATGCTTGCATACTGTTTTGATATTGAGAGCATACATTCAGATGGAAAATTTTCACCAAATGTTTGCTCTGCTAAGAAACAAAGTGACATGTTTTGTTGCCTGTTATTTTATTATTTCTGATTGTGGGTTCCTAAATGTCAGATCATGGACATGTAACAAACCACAAGGCAAATGTAACATATTTGCATGCAAGCCACAGGGACACATTGTGCACGTATTTTTTTAAGATCATTTAAACACTGAGTAGGGAAAGATCAGACAAGCTTTTGCTGGTAACAGTGTACTCATTACAGAATTATGGAGAGCATTATACCTTTCCTCATGCACTCCGTAGTCAAATTAAGTTCTATGTTTCTGACTTATTAGAGGTTTTCTGGGGTGAGATAAGGGCTGGACCTAGTATCATTTTGCTTTTTGTTTATTCAAATCACACCGTGGTGAGGATTTTCACATCCTGTCTTTTGAAACACAAGCTGAGCTTCACCAATGAGGTAACCTGAAACAAGCAATCAAATATTTGAAGCTAATTCAATCTGTCCCTGGCAAAAGAGCACCGAGTAATCAAATTTGGATTTGTTCACTATTCATTCTGCATGCCAGGCTTGATATCTGAAGTGGAAAGATATGAGGTCCTAGGAACACTTGAGCAAAACCATCGTTACTCCCTGATTGAGCTTCTGCTCTCTGCTCCTACTTGTAGGGATTTCTCTTCTTTATTTCTCCTTCTTAAAAAAAAAAAAAGCAAGAAAGAAACGTCTATGGTAGTTTTACTGGATACTAACCATGCTAAAACTTCTACCACTAAAGTCTGAGAAAGAAAAAGGTAGACAGGCTGTGTCTTTCCACACTTGGAATAAAATGCATAAATGACAGGAGTTAACACATCAAACATGTTTTGAGTCATGCCTGTTCGAGTTAGTATGTTTATCCCCAAATCCATCATAGAGAGGACCTTTATCATAGAAGACTTCCATTCTCTAAGTTGCAGAGAGCATTAGAAAGAAGTTTTCAAGAGGCCCAGAACCCTCACTGTGGTTCTCCTCATCAAACTGGGCCATCGGTTCAAAGAGCTAGAGGATTCCAGGCTGCAGGGCTGACCAGGTGATGCTACGCCCCCAGGCACCGCCAGGCGAGGCCTGTACCCTACCACTGGGACCATTTCCCAGCCCCTTCCAACATGCATGAAAGAATGGGAGAAAATGCATGGATGTCCATATTAAGGGTCAGAAGGATATCGTCGCGACATTGGCAGCTCTTTATTTATTGTTTGGTTTGGAAGTCACAGCACACCGTGCTCTTGGTTCCAAGCTCGGGGAGCACGCCTGAGAGTGCTCAGGGGACCAAATGAGGTGTGGGATCAAGCCAGGGCAGCCTCGTACAAGGCAAGTGCCACACAAGTTGTACAATCTCTGGCCCTAAGCATTTCTTGAGTTTCTCAAGATTAGAACAAAAGTGTAGTCCTGGGTACTGACTTAAGCTCTCTTATAACTAGTTTCTTCACTTGTATGACTTAGTAGTAATGACACTTGCTTCACCAAGTTTTAACATAACACCTATGTTAGGTGTGATGATAAGTATTTGATAAAAGGTTGCAGTTTTTATTACCAGGTAAGAGATAGTGGTAGAATGGGAATAACTGATCATGACATCTTGCCATTAGACTATTAAAACAAGGGACACTGATGGAGAGAAGTGGGCTCTTTGGTGGTGGGTATGGTGTCAGAATGATGGCTGCATGAAATTATCATTAACAGTACTGTAAATCACAGTGTTTCAATAAAAATAGGGAAGGGGACATTGAAACATAAATTTATATCACAAAAGAGTAATGGAGGGAAAGAAATAGGAGCAAACCAATAAAAAACTAAACATCAAAAGTAAATAAATAAAAATTTATAAAATTATTCAAAAATATAAGCTAAAGAGAATAAAGTTCTATGACTCCCCCTTGCCCCTCTCCCCTCACGCACACACCACATATACCAACATGGTCAATGAAATTCAGAAATAGGGGAAAATCATGGAAAGGGTAAAGTTAGTGAATAAATCATGGGAAGGAAAAGGAAAAAATTATGGAGAGTGGAAGGGAAAGAAATCACAGAGGAAAATGGTAGTTGTAGAATAATATCTGATAATAAGTTATCACTGATTGGCTGTCCAACATCTCAATATAAGAAAAGATGCAGACATGAATCACAGTAGATGTGATATAAAACCAACACCTGGGAAAGGCTTGCCTCCCCAAGAAAAGCCTGCATTTACAGGGGCCCAGAGAGTTAGTCACAGGCAGGCAATAACTGATGTTTTCAGAGGACTGGTTCTCAATTACTAAGGAAAAGCATCACTTTGAAAGAAGGGAATAATGTTGTCATTCATGGCATCTGTTAGGAATGAGCATTAAACTTTGTGTGGCAACTGTTTCAATAATAAAATGTATATTCCCAAATAAATTCTATATGATTTTGACCTACATCTTAGAAATAAAACAACTTTTTATCTCCGAAAATAAAGTTGACTTCCTGAACTGGTACTCACGTTTTCTGCTAGGAGATGTCATACTGCCTGGAGGAATTTCAGCTGCCTGTGAATCTTCTGGGCCTTTCTATTTTAAATGAAAAAAAAATAGCCAATAAAAGATAATCCATCATTTTGCTGAAAAACAAATATCTGGAGAGTTATGTTTACTCCTCAAGGTATTTTAAAACACTAGAGCACCATGAAACTTAAATCTCAGAAATAAATGTAGAAGGCAGATTTGAATATCTATAGAGTTTTGCACCAGTTTAGATGAAAACTAGCACTTTTGTGAATCACACAATTCCATTTAGAGCCAGAGGTTACTTAGACCATGTAATTCAGACTCTTAAATTATGTAAGCTTGGGGGCAGGGGGCACAGAGATGGTACAGCAGCTAAGGTGCTTGGACAAGCCAACCTGAATTGGCTCCCCAATTCCTCATACAATCTCCTGAGCTTGCCAGGAGTGATCCCTGAGCATAAACACTGAAGTAAGCCTGGAGCACCAAATTAATAATTAATATATAAATTATGCAAGTCTTTCTGAAATTCAAAACCTGTGGGGAATTAAAAACCAATTCTTAATTCTTGACCTAATTTGGCACTTCTCCCCTACAGGAGACTGAGGTTCCAATAAAAAAATAATCCCTCATTTCATTTATTATAGCTGAATTTTCTGTTTTGTTCCTTTGTCTGTTGGCAAAAGAACACTGCTAATTAAATAAATCAACATGCTCTAAAAGATAAATACAATAAATTTCTTGGAGATTTTTCTCATATGATGGAGAAATGACATTTGGAAACTGAATTCTCTGCATTAAGATGATATGATTTTTTATGTCTGAGACTACTCAGGGCTCAATTTCAGACAAGTCACTTCCTTTCTCTCTGCCACAGATTCTTCTATTATAGGAGAGGAATGCCTTTCTCTGCCCATCAAACATGCTTTATGAAAAAGCATATTTATTTTAGTCAAGATATGAAAACATTGCGACAGATTTTGCATGAGACCTTAATTGTCTGTTAAAAAAAATATATGAAACAGAGAAAGTAAACCTAACATTCATTGGTCATAACAGCATTTCTCCACCAGGGGCCAGATGGCCCCTGGATATTTCACAGGTGAAAATCATATAAATGGAGAACTGAAAGATTTGGGGATCAACAGGTAGGAAAGGGGGTCACAGGGAGGAAACAAGGACAGAAGGGGCACCAGCTATTATAAAAGGTTGATAAATGCTGTTAGAATAAACAGCAACTATTCATTCAAATGATGCAATGATACATTCATTTAGAGGGATAGCTGAGTCAGATGGTAGGGTTATGTGTCTTTTGCCTGAAACTGATGGGCCTAGAAAAAAATTATGTGGTTTTTAATAACTTCTATTAAAACCCTGAGCATAATCAAAGGCTGTTTGGGTCTCTTCAATATAGGAGTTCAAATATTTATTCCAAGTCCCTCCCAAAAAAACTTTAAATAGTCACAATGTGTGAAGGAATTTAGAGACAGACATTCAAAATTCCTTTTGATTGAAAAGAATTGAAAGTTCCCTACCTTCCTGAAAACATGACAACAGGAAATCAAACTAGTCCAGCAATCTTTTTTTTTTTTTTTCCCCTTTATTTTATTTTATTTTTTTTAAAGTTGTAGATTTACAATTTTTTGTGCTTTGGTTTCAATTATACAATGATCAGATACCCATCCCTCCACCAGTGCCCATTTTCCACCACCATGGATAATATCCCTCCCACCCCCATCCCCCCATCCCCCCGTCTCTGTGGCAGGGCAATCCCCTGTGTTCTCTCTCTCCTTTTGGGTGTTGTGGTCTGCAAAAGAGGCATTGAGTGGCAAACATGTTCAGTCCATAGTCTACTTTCGACATGCATCTCCCCTCCTGGGAGGATCCTCCAAACATCCTTTATTTGGTGCTCCCTTCTCTATCTGAATAGCCCTTTCCTCTAGGATACCCGGCTGGCCTCTAAGTTATGGAGTAATCCTCCTGGTGCTGATCTCAGCTATTCTTGGGTATTAATCTCATACTTTGTTACTTTATATCCCCCAGATGAATGCAATCTTTCTATGTCTATCCCTCTCTTTCTGACTCATTTCGCTTAGCATGATACTTTCCATATTGTACCACTTGTATGTAAATTTCATGACTTCATCTTTTCTAAGAGCTACATAGTACTCCATTGTGTAGATGTACCAAAGTTTCTTTAACCAGTCATCTGTTCTTGGGCATTCAGGTTTCTTCCAGTTTCTGGCTATTGTAAAGAGTGCTGCAATGAACAAACAAGTGCAGATGTCACTTCGACTATACATTTTTGCCTCTCTGGGATATATTCCCAGGAGTGGTATTGCTGGGTCAAATGGGAGCTCAATTTCTAATTTTTTGAGAATCGTCCATACTGTTTTCCAGAAGGGCTGAACCAGTGGACATTCCCACCAACAGTGAAGGAGTGTCCCTTTCTCGCCACATCCACGCCAGCATCGGTTGCTTTTGTTCTTTTGAATGTGGGCCAGTCTCTGAGGTGTGAGATGGTATCTCATTGTGGTTTTGATCTGCATCTCCCTGATGATTAATGATGAAGAGCATTTTCTCATGTGCTTTTTTGCCATTCGGATTTCTTCTTTGAGAAAGTTTCTGTTCATTTCATTGCCCCATTTTTGGATGGGGTTGGATGTTTTCTTCTTGTGGAGTTTAACCAGTATTTTGTATATCCTGGATATCAACCCCTTGTCAGATGTGTATTCGGTGAATATCCTTTCCCATTCTGTAGACTGTCTTTGTATTTTGGTCACTGTTTCTTTGGAGGTGCAGAAGCTTCTTAGTTTAAGATAGTCCCATTTATCTATCTCTGTTTTCACTTGCTCGGCCAGTGGCGTGGCATCTTTGAAGATACCATTAGCTTCAATGTCATGGAGGTTTTTGCCAACTTTATCTTCAATGTACCTTATGGTTTCTGGTCTGATGTTGAGGTCTTTAATCCATTTTGATCTTACTTTTGTACATGGTGTTAGGCAGAGTTCTGAGCCTATTTTTTTGCATGTAGCCGTCCAGTGATGCCAACACAATTTATTAAAGAGGCTTTCCTTACTCCACTTTACATTACTTGCACCTTTATCAAAGATTAGATGAGCATATGATTGAGGAGAGATGTCAGTGTATTCAACCCTGTTCCATTGGTCTGCAGTTCTGCCTTTGTTCCAGTACCATGCTGTTTTAATTATTACTGCTTTGTAGTACAGTTTGAAGTTCGGGAGGTTGATTCCTCCCATTTTCTTTTTCCCAAGAATTGCTTTAGCTATTCGTGGGGGCTTATTGTTCCATATAAATTTCAAGAGTGTTTGCTCCATTTCTTTGAAGAATGTCATGGGTATCCTTATAGGGATTGCATTGAATTTATACAATGCTTTCGGTAGTATTGCCATTTTGACAATGTTAAGTCTCCCGATCCATGAGCAGGGGATATCTTTCCATTTCCTCATGTCCTCTTTTATTTCCTGAAGTAGCGTTTTGTAGTTTTCTTTATACAGGTCCTTTACTTCCTTAGTTAAGCTGATTCCTAGGTACTTGATTTTCTGGGGCACAATTGTGAATGGGATTGTTTTTTTCATGTTGCTTTCTTCTCTCTCACTGTTTGCGTATAGGAAAGCCATGGACTTTTGGGTATTGATTTTATAACCTGCAACTTTACTATACGAGTCTATTGTTTCTAAGAGTTTTTTGGTGGAAGTTATTGGGTTCTCTAAGTAGAGTATCATATCATCTGCGAATAGTGAGAGCTTGATTTCTTCCTTTCCTACCTGAATGCCCTTAATATCTTTTTCCTGCCTAATCGCTATTGCAAGTACTTCCAGTACTATATTGAACAGCAGTGGAGAGAGTGGGCATCCCTGTCTCGTCCCTGATCTTAGAGGGAAGGCTCTCAGTTTTTCCCCATTGAGGATGATGCTTGCTGTAGGCTTGTGGTAGATGGCTTTAATTATGTTGAGGAAGGTCCCCTCTATACCCATTTTGGCTAGGGTTTTCATCATAAAGGGGTGCTGGATCTTATCAAATGCTTTCTCTGCATCTATTGATATGATCATATGCTTTTTATCTTTTCTTTTGTTGATATGGTGGATTATGTTGATTGATTTCCGAATGTTGAACCATCCTTGCATCCCTGGGATGAATCCTACTTGGTCATGGTGTATGATCTTTTTGATGAGTAGTTGGATTCTATTTGCTAGTAGTTTGTTGAGGATCTTTGCATCTGTGTTCATCAGGGATATCGGCCTGTAATTCTCTTTCTTTGTGGTATCTCTGTCTGCTTTTGGTATCAGTGTGATATTTGCTTCGTAGAAACTGTTTGGAAGTGTTTTTGATATTTCAATTTCGTGGGAAAGCTTAAAGAGCATTGGGAGTAAGTCCTCTTTAAAGATTTGGAAGAATTCACTAGTGAATCCATCCGGGCCAGGACTTTTGTGCTTGGGGAGACTTTTTATTACCATTTCAATTTCCTTGATGGTGATAGGTCTGTTCAGGTATTCCAGGTCTTCTTGGTTCAGCCTTGGGAGTCTGTAGGAGTCTAAGAATTTATCCATTTCCTCGAGGTTTTGATGTTCCGTGGCATAAAGCTTCTCAAAGTACTCCCTGAGGATCCTCTGAATTTCTGTGGTTTCTGTTGTAATGACCCCCTTTTCATTTCTGATTCGGTTTATTAGGGTTTTCTCTCTCCCTTTCTTTGTGAGTTTTGCTAGAGGCTTATCGATCTTGTTAATTTTCTCAAAGAACCAGCTCTTGGTTTCATTGATCTTTCGGATTGTTTTTTGGGTTTCCATCTCGTTAATCTCTGCTCTGAGTTTTATTATTTCCTTTCTCCTGTTCGGGTTGTGCTCCTTTTTTTGGTCCTTCTCCAAGCTCTTAAGCTGTGAGGTTAGGTTACTTATGTGTGCTCGCTCCTCCTTCCTGAGGAATGCTTGTAGAGCTATAAACTTTCCTCTTAACACAGCCTTTGCTGTGTCCCATAAGTTTTGGTAACTCGTGTTCTCATTTTCATTCGTTTCTAGGAATCTTTTGATTTCCTCTTTGATTTCCTGTCTAATCCACTCGTTGTTCAATAGTGCACTGTTTAATTTCCAGGTGTTTGATTTAGTTTTCTGTTTTTGTGTGTGATTTACTTCTAATTTCAGCGCATTATGGTCTGAGAAGATTGTTGATACAATCTCTACCTTCTTAATTTTATGGAGGCATGTTTTGTGGCTCAGCATGTGGTCTATCTTGGAGAATGTTCCATGTACGCTTGAGAAGAATGTGTATTCAGCTTTTTGTGGATGAAGTGTCCTGTATATATCTACTAAGTCCCTTTCTTCCATTGTTTCCCTCAAATGAAGTATGTCCTTGCTAAGCTTGAGTCTGGTTGATCTATCAAGAGGTGACAGAGCAGTGTTGAAGTCTCCCACTAGTATTGTGTTGCTATTGATGTCTTTTTCCAAATCTATGAGTAGTTGTTTTAAGTACTTTGCTGGTCTCTCATTAGGTGCATATACATTTATTATTGTAAGTTCTTCCTGTTGTACAGATCCTCTGATCAATAAGTAATGGCCTTCACTGTCTCTTATGACCTTCCTCACTCTGAAATCAATGTGGTCTGATATAAGGATGGCTACCCCAGCTTTTTTATGGGAGCTGTTTGCCTGTAGGATTGTTTTCCAGCCTTTGACCCTGAGTCTGTGTTTGCTTTGACTATTGAGATGCGTTTCTTGCAGGCAGCAGAATGTTGGGTTCAATTTTCTAATCCATCCTGCCACTCTATGTCTTTTAATTGGTGCATTTAGCCCATTGACATTGAGAGAGATTATTGTTATGGGATTTTGTCCCATTGTTATGTTAAAATTGGGTGTATTTGAGGGGCCTTTCTTGCCTTAAAGTAGCCCATTTAGTTGTTCTTGTAACCATGGTTTTGAATCTATGAAGTTCCTGAGCTGTTGTTTGTCTGTGAAACTGTGTGTTGTTCCTTCTATTATGAATGAGAGTCTTGCTGGGAAAAGTATTTTTGGGGAGGCATTTATTTCATTGAGTTTTTTTACTATGTCCCACCACTGTTTTCGGGCCATGAGGGTTTCATCAGAAAAATCAGCTGTGAATTTTAAGGATGCTCCTTTGTAAGAGATTTCTTTCTTCGATCTTGCTGCTTTCAGAATTTTGTCTCTGTCTAAGGTTTTGGTCATTTTGATCAGAATGTGTCTTGGGGTATTTTTATTCGGATTTCTTCTAGCTGGTACCCTTCGGGCCTCCTGAATGTGGTCACAAGTTTTCTTCAGCTCTGGAAATGTTGTAGCAATGATGTCTTTGACAGTTTCTTCTTCATCGAGGTTTTCTTCCTGTCCCTCTGGGACTCCAATAATTCTTATGTTACCCCTCTTGGCTTCATCACGATCTTCTCTTGCCATCTGTTCCCGAATTGTGAGTCTCTTTTCCATTTTCTGCTCTTTTCGGGAGAGTCTCTGAACTTCATCTTCGAGCTCACTGATTCTGTTCTCAGCCGCTGTTACTCTGCTGCTGAGGCCTTCCACTGAGCTTTTCAATTCGCCTACGAGATTTTTCAGGTCTGACATTTCTGATTGCATTTTCCTCATTTCTGCCTTCAGATCCTCTTGTCTTCTATTGGCATTGCTTTCCATTGTTTCTTTTAATTCCCTAGGCATCCTAAGTAGCTCCCTTCTGAATTCCTTGTCAGAGAGGTTGTCTAACACTACAGTACTGTTGGTGTCATCTGGGCTAGACTCTTCAATATGAAAGTTTGGTGGGCTTTTGCGTTGCTTTACCATTGTGAGAGGTGTGGTTTAGTCCTTCACGTTCAGTGTTACTATTCTGCTTGATATGCAGTGTGAGTTAAGATAGGCTTATGAGTTATTGGCAACTGTATTTCTAGTTGCTGAGCTAAAATAGAGAAGTTTCCATCTAAGAAGTTAGCTTATGGTTCCTATGGCATATGTAGTGGGAAAATATTTCGCGGCCGCGTTAGCGGCCGCGGCTCCGGAAAGAGTCCCTGGCACTGGGCGAGGAGTTGGGAATGTCTCCTGTTTGGAATTGGAGCCGTTCAGCTTTGTTGCCCAGAGCTGGGCCTCTGTGCCCGTCCCACGCGGATCAGGGGTTGAAAACCGGCTGTCTCGGGGCTGTTTCTAGCTGCGCGTGCCCAGAGAGGAACCCAGGCCCTTGGGGGTGGGCTGTACCTGTTGGAATTGGAGCCGTTCAGCTTTGTTGCCCAGAGCTGGGCCTCTGTGCCCGTCCCACGCGGATCAGGGGTTGAAAACCGGCTGTCTCGGGGCTGTTTCTAGCTGCGCGTGCCCAGAGAGGAACCCAGGCCCTTGGGGGTGGGCTGTACCTGTTGGAATTGGAGCCGTTCAGCTTTGTTGCCCAGAGCTGGGCCTCTGTGCCCGTCCCACGCGGATCAGGGGTTGAAAACCGGCTGTCTCGGGGCTGTTTCTAGCTGCGCGTGCCCAGAGAGGAACCCAGGCCCTTGGGGGTGGGCTGTACCTTCCGCACCGAAGCCCGCCCGCCAGCACTTCCGCCCCCTAGTCCAGCAATCTTAAAACTTCATATCGCCCAATTTCCAGTATGGGCTGATCATGCATTTTAAATAACAAACGGAGGTGAGCTAGCATATTCAACTCATTTATCACTCATTCAGGGAGCTTCAGACAGTTGCTTAGATGCGCCTAGGGCTTCTGAACCCTTTATTCCAAAAGAAGTAATCAAACTGACACTAAAGTGATTTCTGAAGAATCTGTCTAAGAATCAGCTTGATGACATTATCTGCTTCAAACCACATGTGAAGTTTCTAAATGATAAACACAACAAGGCTTTGAATGAATTTCTTTAGAAGCCCAGCTTTGCTCCTATCTCTGAGTTAGCCTGGGCCTGCAATCAAATGCCAGGTTGTTAGTTTCTCTGTGCAACAGAGATTGTTCTTAAATTGTTCTTAAATTGCTTCCCCCTTTCCTAAGGTCCTGGGGACAGAAGGCATGTTTTATGCTACCTATTTCCTTCATATTTTCCTGTCCCATTAGGATGGAAATGTTGTTTAGAACATGATTAGAGGTGTGTTTCAAGACTTTGGAAGATTTTTGTCATAGAAAATTCAATGTAACAGAAGGCACATCCTATGAGACTTTGCTAGAGGCAGATCTGTTCACCCTTCATTACGAAACAAACACCCCAGTTCAGATGCATTAAATTCTTTGTTCACCACTTCTCAGCACCCACCTCATCATGACTAAGGATTAGTCAGAACGAAACAAACTAAAGGTCAATGGGCTTATAAAATTTTTTTAAAATAAAATTATGTAGATGTACAGAGTAGAGAACATTGATTAGAATCTGGGAACTATACTCTTGACTCTCTCAATTTCAGAAACTGGGCAAGATTTTCCAAACAATAATAACTATGACCAAGAATAGACAAATCACAAGCAGATTCGACTTATCTATCCTACTGTTTTCCATCTATTCATCAAAGAATTGGGGAAAGAGGATAATCAAATCAGTAAAGTGCTTCGGATCAGTAACCTACCAACTGGATCGTTGAAGTCGATTTGCCTCTGCCTGATGAGTCACTTAATTCAGAGTTGAGAGCAAGATGTTGGGACTGTCCTCCATGCCCATGAACCAGTGACAGATCCTGCCGGAAGAAGGGAAGAGGAGGAGGATTTAAAATTAGTGCTAGAGGTCACCAGTGCAGCCCCAGACAATTCCACGTTTCTTGGAATGTTCTGCTTATTCGTCAAAGTGGTGGGTGGCAGAAAAATAGAGCCAGAGAGTCTCATCATGATAAATATTTGCCCAAATGTATCACCTTGGAGAGGCACCAGACTGTTTTGAAACATCATGCATATTTGGAACGCTTTTAAAATGCAACTTCAAGGATAGTTATCATTTCATTTTTTTTTTTGCTTTAGGACCACACCCAGCTGTGCTCAGGCCTTACTTCTGGCTCTGACTGCAGGGATGGTTCCTGGATCATGAGACCATATGCCAGGGATCCAACCTGAGTTGGCTGCGAGCAAGGCAAGTGCCTTACCCACTATCCTGTCTCTCTGACCTAAAGATACTTATGATTTTAAAAGGCTTAAATAGTGACATATTTTCTATTCTCTTTTAAATTCACTGAAAAAAATTCTATTTACCTTCACTTGAAATTTTGATTCTTTCTGATGGAAATTCCCAAAGGACAAACATTCAAAGGATATTTTATCCCATCATGACTTCGGAAATGTTTTCCTAAATTAAAGCTTATGTTGCTTAAAAACACACCCAGTTCTTTCATTTAGCACATCACGAATCTTGAAGCTATGTTCTTAAAAGTCATTTTAAGTTTCCTATCCAGTTCAAGAACAATATCCATAAACTTAGCACTTAGGATACATAGAATTTATGTCATTCATTTTCACTGGGCTAAATTTCTCAATTTTATACATTGTTAAGATACTGGCTTTGTAATTTGGTTCTTCCCATCCAGGAATACTGTCCTATTGTACAGAAATGTACAAATGGCTTTTTATGCTTGTTGAGATTAGAATTCTTTTTGTGGAGGTTGAGTTCCTTATTTATGAGTAGAGGTGGGGATTGAAGATGGCATTCTTTATTTCTTAATCCTAAGAGCTTCCTAGCACTGGCTTTAGGTCAAAGAACAACCCAGCTTCATCCAAACACATTTGGAGAATATTAAAAACTTTCCTTTTGGAAAGTTTCAAATACACTGAACAGTTGAAATAATTGTAATGTAGACATTCAACCCTCTACTCCTTAGATACGACTACCAATAATTTATTCCAACTAGTTTATCACTTCATCTCTAACATTCACAAAAACATTTTATCTTTTGATCACGAAATAGAATTTTGCAAAGAGTTTAGGAGTGATAACAAACAGGTGCTGATATTTGGGGGAAAGTATGTGTTCTGTGACTAGGAAGAGCCAGAGATTATTAAGATACATCAAGGACTGAGCACTGAGAACCCAAAGACTTTGTAAGAAAGAAAAATGTATTCTAATTTTTCTGAAGTCTTTCAAAAGCATTGACTTTGCTTTTTCACTACCAGGAATGAGACTCTGGGACTCATGCATGCAAAGCATGTCATTTACCACTGGATCACATTATGAATCTCACCATCTCAACAGTTCACCAATTTTCACCTAGCATAATGTATAAGGACAACAGTAAAATAAAATCTGTAAGTAAACCATTCTGTGCTTGATGTTAACAGTATATGTCAAAATCTATAAAATACTGCTAAAATGAAAGAAAAAATTCCAAAATAAAGTATATACATACCTAACTAATGGGCTGGAGAGATAGCACAGCAGGTAGGGCATTTGCCTTGCAAGCGGCCAATATGGCCGACCCAAGTTCAATTTCTCTGCCCCTCTTGGAGAGCCCGGCAAGCTACCGAGAGTATCTCGCCCAAACAGCAAAGCCTGGCAGGCTACCCATGATGTATTTGATATGCCAAGCACAGTAACAATTGTCACAATGGAGACGTTACTGGGCCCGCTCGAGCAAATCAATGAACAATGGGAGGACAGTGACAGTGACAGTGACCTAACTCAATGGGTGGAGCACATGTTTTGCATGCAGAAGGCCTGGGTTTGATTCCTAACCCTGCATGCCCCCCTACCCCAACAAGATAAACAAAAAGGATAGACCACAGTCCCTTCCTCCGCATTTTCTTTTTCATTATTTTAAATGCTCTTAAGATAGAAAATGATGGGTAAATCAGGGTAGGAGAAGCATGCTGAAAGTAGACTATAGACCAAACATGATTGCCACTCAATGCCTCTCTTGCAAAACACAGTACCCAAAAGAAGAGAGAGAGAACCGGGGGAATGTCCTGCCACAGAGACAGGGTGGGACAGGGGGGATGGGGGGGTGGGAGGGATGCTGGGACCCGTGGTGGTGGAGGATGGGCACTGGTGGAGGGATGGGTACTTGATCATTGTATAACTGAAATCCAAGAACAAAATTTTATAAGTCTATAACTGTACCTCATGGTGTTACACTAATAAAAAAATTTAAAAAATAAGATGATGGGTAATCTATTTTTTTGGTTTGAGGGTCACGCCCATTTGTGGTTGGGGGTTACTCTCAACTCAGTGCTCAGGGGACCAAGCAGTGGTGAGGATCAAACCTGGGCTTCCTACATACACAGTAAGTTTTTCTGCACTCTGAGTCATCTCCCCAGCCATAACATTATGCTTTAAAATCTTTCTTTTGTTTATTTATTTTATTTTGGTAATAAAGAAATCCCAGGCACTGGCTTGTATGCGGTCCTCCATTGGGAAAAATTCATTACTAAATATGAAATAACCTCCTAGAAGCTAGAAATGAAAGAACGGAGAAAGCAACAGATGTTTAAAAAAAGCAATTACAATACCCACAGAGGCACTGTCCATCAAGATGATCTACAGAGCCTCAGACATTCTACACATATCATTTACTTTCTGACAAAGTCCCATTGAGGAAAAAGATAAGCCTTAAGAAGTTCAAACAAAAGATACATAAAATTTAAAGCATACCTCAGTACTTGGTGATACAAAAAGAATAAAACATTTTTCTATTACAAAAAATCCATGAATTCCTCCAATCAAGCCCAACAATTTCCAAATATGGTCCTTGCTTTCATGGAGATGTTCAAAGTCTGAGAACTCATGCTTGTATGAGCCAAGAATCTGGAAGAGTGGGAAGGAGAAGGAGGAGAAGGGGGGACAGAGAGAGAGAGAGACAGAGAGAGAGACAGAGAGCTTTATTAATTATAGCAAGGCTGGTTTTAAATACACCCAACTTTCATTTCATTCTGGGAAATCCCATGACAGCACCTGAAACCATTTGAAGCCCAGTTTTCTTTTAGATGCATAAATTGTTGCATGCAATGTCTGGATCAAGGTTAAATAAAATGTGTGTGAGAGGAAAGGAAGCAGACTTTGAACAGCTTCTGTTCATAAGGAGAAAGCCTAAGTGTTTTTCAGAAAAAATGGCTGCATTTTAAGACACTGCAATTTAGCTGAATTTCTCTTCTAGGAGTTTTATCTATTATCTGTTTGCAGATAATGGCTTTATAATAGAGCAATATAATTTACACACACATAGTCATACACACACACGTGAAACTTTTCAACTTTTCATCCGGGATCTATATTCCTTGTGACCCACTGCAATGAAAGAAAACTTTCAATAAATGTTTATACAAGTCAGAAATCTACCAGAAGGCTTTTTCTGAGTGTAAACTTGTCTGCCCAGCAATATTATCAGCTTCTAGGTCCCAAGAGAACACAAGGAAAACATCAGAAATCTTCTCATCCTATCCTACTGGTTGTCTTACCAGTTAGAAAATCATTACATGTCATTGTTTTCCCCCTCCAGGAAAAGGCACTGTAGAAAACAGCTCAGTGGTTTGCAACATTTAGGAAATTGTTGGAAATTAGGAAGGAGAAATTATTTGTAAGATATTGTGTGTACATGTGTTCATGCATATCTGTAGATCTGTACACATGTGCACATGTCTGTATTTATATCTGTACATTTGGGTTCACAGACATAACTCAAAATACATATATCTTAGTCAAACTTTTCCTTTGGATAAAGACATTAGAATGTAGCCACCTAATATTTCTAATTTTCCTCATTTCATAAAATAGGCATCAGACTATACCAAAAAAAAAAAAACAAAAAAGAAGCAATCACAATGCCAGCATGCATTTAGCTCTCTCCCAGAATACATTCAGTTAAAACAAATCACAAATGACTTTTTTGGTTTGCTGGACACCTGCCATGAATTACACAGTGGAATATCTGGGATTTTTAGTTTTGTTTTGTTTTGTTTAACTTCATCATATATTTCCTGCATATTTTTCTTTTATCAATAAATTTTGTCCTTGTCTTTTTTTTCTTTCAGTTAAAACAAACAAAACACTACATAATGAAACCCAAAAATCTGTCTTCTAAATTTCCGGAACTACAGATAATCTTTGAATGCCCAGTTTGAGCAGTCAAACTCCCCCAACCCCCAAATTTACCTCTGCTTTCCTGAGACATGAGGTCAGCAGGAGGGCCCAGGCAGTGGAAGTTCCTTTATTGGTTCCCTGGATCCTAAATAGGTATAGCCCTACAACCCTGTGACCTAGAAAAATCATCCCAAGCCAATAAGCCTTAAGAAATTTCTAGAAAATGAAATTTCAAGGGGCACTAAAAACAACATCTAATAATCTCTGAGCCTCTAAGCAATAAGAGTGACCCATGGTCATTGCCAGAGGCCCGTGGAATTGGGCATTCTGGGTGTTCAGTGAGAGGCTCACAGTGCCTCTGCCATGAGCTATCATGCAAGAGTGTATGAGTTCCTGAGTCTTGGTTGTGTCCTCTCATCTCCAGAAAAAAGAATCTTGGAAAACTGCTATAAAGCTATAAAGCCAGTTTCCTAATATTGATATTTTTTTCTGATGCTATTTAATTGGGCAAGAGAAAGAAAAAAACCTATTTTTTCTTTTCTTTTCCTTTTCCTTCCTTTTTTCCCCCCTTTTTATCTAGCAGCAAAACCGTTTTATTACACAGGTTTTGGGTACACAGTCTGAGGGCCAACATCTTTGTAGATTATACCAGGTTCAGCCCTGAAGTTTAGGTTTCCATCCTCCATTGTACAACTGACCCCTTTAATGTGATAACCCCCTTCCTCTCCCTTTGGGGGACCATTAGTTTGTTCTTATAAGCATTTGCTGTTTATTTATTTATTTTTGGGTTCCATTCATTTGTTTTTGTCTATCAATCACACAGGAATGAAATCGCCTGGTGTTTGGTTTATTTCAGTAAACATATTACCCTCCAGCTCCATCCATGCTGATTACAAAGGCAGAGTTTCACTTGAAAGCTTAATAATGTCTCATGGCAGCTGTATAACCTGTCTCCTGTCCCCATTTCTCTGGTTGTTTCCAACTCTGGACAGTCGTGAATAATGCTGCTGGAAAGGGCAGTGCATGTATGTTGTTGAATTCTTTTTGGCGTGTTCTTTGCGGAGAGGTGGATCATACAGCATTTCTCCGCTCTATTTTCCAGAATGGAGAACCAGTTTACATTCCCACCCACAGGGGCCACTGTTGGTGAGAAATTTGTTTTCTCCGCTTTCCAATGAAATCATTGATGGTGCTATTCTGAGGTGTGGATAGGCGCAAAGGTGCTAATAAGAGAGAATAGAGCAGCCAGAAGCCAACAAGCCCTCCAAAAGCATGGGCATCCTTGGGTTCAAAGGATAGAAAGGAGGAAATACAGTTAACCAGGCTTTGCAGGCCGTGGAACTTTGCATTGGAGTGTATCAGGGGCTTCTGTGCTTAAGGGGAATAAGAAGGGAATAACTTTTTTTCTCTCCTTCCTCCTGGTCTGATTTCCCCATGCCTCCTTCTGACCAAACCCAACAACCATCAGCCTGCGAGGGAGTAGAGGACTCATTCAAGCCCCAGGGTGCAGAAGAGAGAGAGCAGAGAATGGCGTTTTATAATCCACGGCCTCTGAGTTGTAGATTATGGCCACGTGTTTCTGAAAGTTTCCTTCATGCACAATCTACACAGTGAACCCTAAGGCCGGATGTTCATTTCTCTTCTAGGAGAGCTTTGAGAAAGGTCCCATTTATTTCCACAGAAAACACTTCAGCCTCTATTTCCCTGCACAAGCCACAGTATGGTTTTGCCCCAATACCTTAAAAGACTTAAAAGAGGAATTCAAAAGGCTCCATTTCAGATGGAAAATGGTGGGGAAGTTACCTGAGGGATCAGGTGGAGGAGAGCATCCCCAGACAGTGTCCCCACGGCGAGGCCCACAAACAGCTGTAAAATCAGCGGGTAGTTCTCGCAGCCACGGAAAAGGATCAGCGTGGTCCCCAGCATGGAGCCCAGCGTGAGCAGGGCCACGGCCACTGTGCTGTAGCCGTACTCTGGGTCAGAGGGAGATGGAAACACAGTCAGTGCATGGGTCTGCAGGTGAGAACTGCAGGCACTGTCAGGCCAGGCAGAGAAGCCTCTGAAATTCTTTTGACAGTATTACACGGGGCCAGAAGGTTACATTTTTAAGTGAAGACATTAGAGCGTTTCATCAAATAACCCTCTTGCTTTCAAGGTACCTTGACAATCCCTTGTTAAAGGGCAATCAGCACAGCCAAACAAGGCCCTCTTTCACTCCCACCCCAGCTGATTAACTTCTCTGACATTAAACTGCAACATCTGCGGAGGTGAGCAGCTGGCTGATGCCCTCTCAGTGGAACCTTCAGGGGAGGTCTCACATGTATAGATCTGGGACTCCTGGCGTGGCTGTTGGCATCTGATGGATTTTCTTCCCAAAGCTCTAACAAACAAGTTGGATCTGTCAGATCCAATGCATTTATCCATGGTCAGACTGAGCACTCTTGTGGTTGATGTTCTAAGGTTAGGTAACCCTCATTTTGGATGATGACAATAATTTTTAACAATCCCTACATTTATCCTGGGCTGGAGCTATAGCACAGTGGGTAGGGCATTTGCCTTGCACGCAGATGACCTGGCTGACCCGGGTTCGATTCCTCCGCCCCTCTCAGAGAGCCTGCAAGCTAACGAGAGTATCTCGCCTGCACGGCAAAGCCTGGAAAGCTTCCAATGGAGTGTTTGATATGCCAAACACAGTAACAACAAGTCTCGCACTGGAGACGTTACTGGGCCTGCTCGAGCAAATCTATGAACAATTCAAGAATAGTGCTACAGTGCTACATTTATCCTGGTTTTCTAGATTTTTTTGGAGCTGTCATCAGGTGCAACTTTTTAGATTATCTAAGCAAAATCAAATGTGCTCAGTGACTATTTGAAGATTTTATGTGAACAAAAAAATGAAACACCCCACCATACTAGCCCTAAAGAGATAAGATGAGGTGATGCATGCTTCATTTAAAGTGGAAAGCACTGGAAGAGCGTGCCAAAGAATTTCCTGAAGTTCACAGCCTCATTTGCAGCCACACGACCTCTTACACCCTACCTCACTTACTTAAAAGTATCACGCATTTGTTTAGTTTCTAACATACTTGCTTGTATTCTCTTATATTTGGCTTAAAAGGCTCCAGAATGAAATACAACAATCTTCACACACTTTCCTCTTATTGTGGTAGGAAGGTGCTCCCTGGTGGGATTGGTGTTTGAATACTATCTGTAATGAACTATGTGAACTACTTTTATGAAAAGAAAATATATACAAAAATAAATAAATATATATATTGAAAAAAAGTGGGAAGCACAGGGGCGAGAGAGCATGGTGGAAAGTTTCTCGCCTTGCCCGGTGCTGACCCTGGTTAGATTCCACCACTCCATATGGTCCCCTGAGTCCCACCAGGAATGATCCCTGAGCACCTACAGGAGTGGCCCCAAATCCAAATGTGTGTTTGCATGTGTATGTGTGGATAGATGATAGATAGATAGATAGATAGATAGATAGATAGATAGATAGATAGACAGACAGATAGATAGATGGGCAGCTCAATAGTTCATCTCCTTGAAGTTCATTCATGGTTCAGAATCACAATGAGAGCAAACCAGGGCACCTACGAGCTTCCTGAATGTGTCTCTCTCTCCCAACCTGGCATAATACCTGGTGAACAGACCACATGAAAATCACCTTAAATTCCAGTGGTAGTGGTGGTGGTGAGGAAATCCCACACAAGATCCATTGAAATTATGCTCTAGAAATTTCTGGGGAACAGTTTCCAAATAAGTTATACCCTCTAAAAAGTTTAGAAAAATATGGCTGTCTCCCATTTCAAATGTTATGTTTTTAAACTAACGAGGAAAAATTAAACAGGCCTTTCGGAATGTCCCCAGCACCCCAAATGAGCCCTCCCTGAGCACAAAACCAGGAATAAGTCCTGAGCACTGCTGTGTATGGCCCAAAAAGAAAAAGAAAAAAAGTGAAGTGCTTAGAAGCATATGCGCTAGACGGCGAGTATCCACCATCTACTCTGCTTACCTATGCCTTATGCATTCTCCCCCACATTTTTCTGTTTTGTTTTGTTTTGTTTTGGGGGGGTCAAATCTGGTGAAGCTTGGGGGTTACTTCTGGCTCTACACTCAGGAATTACTCCTGGCATTGCTCAAGAGGGGACCCTTTGGGATGCCAGGATTGAACCCAGGTCGGCTATGAGCAAGGCAAATGTCCTCACTATGCTATCGCTCCAGCCCCCACAATCCCTTTCTAAGAGAATGAGGACTTACTCTCAAGAACCGTGGGTGGCAGCTTTGCTTGTGGAGTAATCCGAGGCCGCTGGCAAGAGCAGCTGAGCAGTTGCTGGATGATCCCTGGACTCATTTGCTTAAAGTCTTCCTTAGAAATGGGCGCAAGGCTGCTTTGTAGGTAGATCTCCACCAGCTGCCGGGCAGAGAAGCAAGTCTGCGTGGGAAAAACTCTTTGTTATGACTCTCAGCTCTGACCCAAAAGCATCATGAGCTGCCAAGCTGGAGGAAGAGCAAGATTCTAACGAGATTTGCTAAGGCAATGAAGCCATCCTCCACACTTTTCCCTCTTTCATCCATAAATAATTCCAAGAAAATGATTTCAAATTGCTGATCAAAGACAACAGGGTCTCACTTCCATTCTGAGTACTAAATAATAGTAGCAATACTAATAGCAATACTACCATTAAATAATGCTGAATAGCATGAGTTCGCAAGGTACTATTTCCTGAACACTAAAACTGTTTTCCACACTGTACTGAATGTACTCCTCCCAACATCCTAAGGAAATGTTAATGCCTTTGTTATTTTTCAGTGGGGATAGACTTGGGGCGATCGGGGTGGGTGGGGCCTCTCAGGTGATACTCGGGAGTCTCGGAAGCACAATGTAAGGACCAAACATACAGTACTGCTTAGATCTAAGGGTGCTAGGGTTAGCAGGACACCTCAGAAGTACTGGGCACTTCCAGGGCTGTATCCAACGATACTCAAAGGGACCTTGTGGCACTGAGGGTCAAACCTGTGATAGGTGCACCCTGGCCCCAACCCTAACTTCTGCCTTTTCCAAGCACCTCAAAAGGGACAGTTTTTCACAAGCCAGCTAAGACTGAGTACCAGGAGCTCTGAGATTATGAGGTTACTGTCTTTAATAATCTTGAGCCTAGGTTGACGTGTGTTTTTCAGAGCCAATTAAAGTAACTATTTAAAAAAACTGAACTGTTAGCCTGCTGGAGTGCGGACAATAAATGCTAGGACTATCCTGTCAATATTGGCACATGGCTAACATGGGTTTGATCCCAGTGCCCCTCATGGTCCTAAGCACCACCAGGAATGATCCATGAACACAAAGTCAGGAGTAGGTCTTAAGCACCAGGAGGTGTGACCCCAAAAACAAACAAAAAAGGTGACTAGTTTTAGAGGAGGTATGCCCAAAGTAGGTGATGCCTACATTTAAACAAAAAAAGAACACCCTGTTCTTTATGCAAATGGTGTCTCCAGCATACAAATATGATTTCCACCTAAGATCTAGGCCTGAAGAGGTAGTTAAGGAAAGTTTCCCAGCAAAACATTAATATAGGTGTTGATGTTAGTCTCTTTTGGCTAACTACTGTAAGCATGAATTTGAAAGAATGTGCTTGATATATGCCTCTCTCTCTATATATATAATATATATATATATATATGCCCAAAGTAACAGAAATTCACTCTAAAAGGCATACAATAGTGGGACAGAGGGACAGTACAGGAGATAAGGCACTTGGTTTGCATGCGTTCAACCCTGATTCAATCCCTGGAACCCCATATGGTCTGTGGAGTACTGCTAAGAGTGATCCCTAAGCACAGAGCCAGGAGGACACTTAGCACCACCAGATACGCACCACCAGAATCCCCCAACCAGATGGGTATCGTACCTAAAAATATGATGTACTACCCAGTCATGTGTTTATAATTAAGGGAACAATATCAAGTATTGTTTGAGTAACATTAAAAATATTTTTCTCTTTTAAGATACAGATTCTGCTCAACAGGAATATTGCTGATCTGAGATACAGATAATAAAAATAGCTTTACTTATTTAAATAAATATTTCCCAATAAGAACATTGTCAAGCACACAGCATATGTCATCAGACAACATATAGATATTCATATTGCGTATGCATTATATATGGTTATGTGTATACATGGATGTGAGGATATATATAGATCTCTCTCTATATATATATGTATATCCTCAGTTTTGTGAACTTAATAAGCTCTAAGCCTCAACTTCCTCATTTGTAAGATGAAATAACCTAACTCCATTAGTTGCTATAAGACTATAACTACAAGGTAATATATTTTTTGAAATGTCAGTATCGTACATGAAGTAAAGACTTAAAAAATGTAAATAATTCTCATGGAACACCAATTGGGGGGAATTTTTAATAACTAGAATTGAGGAGATTCTATAATCAAAATCTGAAAAATGATGGATTCAGTAAGATTAAAGAAATTTATTTACTGGCTGCTTTCCCCAGCACCTCAATATTCTAATGCATATCCCAGTATTTCCCAAATTTTTGTAACCACAGCACCCCATTTAAAGAAACATCAAGATAGACTTGTGACTTAAGTTTGGAATGCACTTGAGAAAATACTGATATGGATATGATTACTAGCTCAAATAGCTCTCCTACTTAAAAACTCAGTACTGCCTACTGCACAAACATTCCTGTTTCTTATAGCCCAAAGTAGTCTGTTTTAGAGTTCAATCTAGGTTGAAAATGTTAATTCATTATTCAAAGTATTTATGTCCTTTCTCTACCTTCCCAACCTCTGTAAGCTCCACAGAAGTTTGTGTCTTTTTACCTCAGTACTGTGCCCCTTATTCCCATGATGATGAGCAGCTCAGAGTAAATGCTTAAGCTACATTTGTTGGATTAAGCATACATTCTATTTAGATTTAAGAAAGGAAAGGTTAATTGATCATTTTCTCTCAACATAAATAATATGTATTTTATAGAAATATGTGTAATTCTTAGTCCCAAAAAATCTTGTTTATGTTTTCAGAGATCCGTGATAGAGAGGAAAAAAAAAACACATAAGCACTCTATGGAAATAATTGATTTTACATTTTAGGAAACACACACTTTCATTTAACTTTTCTATAAGTCTTCTAGAATGTTCATAACTGGGATTCCTTGACAAGAACGGTTGAGGGTGTGGTAAGAATAACGGCAATACCTGATCCCAGGAATCTGGACCATCCTCTGCCTCTTGGTTCCAGGAAGTAGGACGATTAGGGGAATCCCAAGCAGGAACTCCTACATTGTTCTCTTTTCTTTGAAGCCGGTGACTACTATCCTTTCTGACACAGGTATTTTGGGCCCAGAGAGTATTGAGGAGTAGTTCTAGTTCTAGAAATTTCATACAAAATGTGGTGTCATGTAGTATAAAGACAGAACGGTCACGATTTCACTGGGTATTTTACTAAATAAAATTGGTCCTGATACCATGTCAAGATTTCATCCTGAAGGAGAATAAAGGTAATTCTTTCTTCTAATAGATATGGATTCCCTCCCAAGATCCTGACCGGCTTTGGGAACAGAATTTATATCACCAAGTGATCCCCAACATTGTCATTCCTGGTAATGATGAAATGGGCAATTCCATTAAATAGAGAGACTTTATGGAGTCAGATGATTCCTTTTTCTAGGTGTCAATAAAAATATAAACAAAAGATGACACTGGCTTCATCCATATAAAATATATTCCCTTATGGCTCTAGTAGATTATCTATAATTTGAATGTAATAAATCGAGCAAAGTATGTTTCTCTTCAGTATTTATGCAGAGAGTAGAAATGAAAAGAAGCTCAGATTGAAGAGATAAACTAGAGCTTGTTTCCCAAAGCTCCTGTGACAAGGTAGCCATCTCCCTATCAAAAACCTCAAGGTCTGCATAATCCCCAGGGTAAAACAATTTAGATCTTTTAGATAACAAGACTTCAGTGTGCCCAGGAAAGAATAGAACAGACAATTGTCAGGATTTTACTCTGTAGTTTAAGGGTGCCTGATGACTGACTATGTGGAATATCCTCTGCTCTTAAAATTTCTTAAATTTTCATGGGCTTACTAAGTGTCCTTAAATATAGGTAAATATAGTCTCTGTCAACTTAAACAATGGCTCACAGGTTGGGAGCCAGAGTTGGGATGTGAAGGGCCAGCCTGTATCTTAAAGGGCCAGCCTGTAAACTCACTAAGGGCTGCTCAGGTGACCCTAAAGCTTGAACATCTTCGTATTTTTGTCTCATTCTCTGGCACAGGCCCAGCTGGATGGAGGTTAAAGGTGCCAGTCCTATTGGCTTTACTGTGGTAAATTGCCACATTATAGGCTCTAGTTTAGTTCCCCATTGGAATTTTTTTAAAAGGTCATTGATTAAAAGGTCAGGGAATAATTAAATATAACAATGAATTTTTATATGAATCTATTTGCTTGTGAATAAAATATCTCTTTTCCTAAATGCTATCTCAGTGAAAGGAGAAATTACAGAGTTGCTGCAATATTTTTATTAAAATGACTAGTTTTCAATAAAAATATCTAATATTTGCAAATAAATGGGAAGGTGTGGCTCAAATTGAGGGTGGGGTGTAAAGGAAGTAATAAATAAATGCATCTTTCCAAGAAACTGGATTTAGCAAAGTACTTCAAAGAAGTATTATAAATATGCTGAACATAAAATTGACTCATGGCATGTAAAAGAACATTAATACACTTAATTAATAACCACCTTCTCCATTGGATGATGGAATCCAGAAAATTAACGTGAGAAGAAAAAGCTTTCAATAAAAAGTTAATAACTCTTCAAATAGAATGTGACATAAAATAACTCCTGTGCAATGCCGGGCGTAACCCCCCCAAAAAACAAGAAATACAAAGTGAAGCTTTTTACAATAAAAAAGTAATGACCCAAATGGTAAATTGAGTCCATAGGAAAAATAGAGAACATTATAAGCATAAATATGTGAATTACTATTAAAAACATCAATCAGAACTTTTCTCTAAACTATGAAATAAAGCACTAGATGTTAAAAAATACTTTCAACTAAAGAGAGTCTTCTTTCAACATTATAAACTCGGTAAGAGTGCAGTCCTGGGGACAGAGTGATAGTATAGTGGGTAGGTCATTTGCCTTGCAGATGGCCAATCCAGGTTTAATCCCTGGCATCCCATATGGTCCCCAAGCACTGCTAGGAGTAATTCCTGAATGCAGAGCCAAGACTGATTCCTGAGCATTGTGGGGTGTGAGCCAAAAAGCCAAAAGAAGAAGAAAAAAGAACACAATCCATAGTCATGATTATCTACCAATAATAAACAGGAGTTATTCGCCAAATTAATTCATATTAGAAGTAAATATAGGCATAAAATTGTAATGAGGAGAAATTATTTTCATTTGGAGATATTATATATGAAAACCCTCAGGTACAAAAAAATTAAAGATCTATCATGGTTATTCTAACAGGTAAAGTCTAGAGCTATGTGAGGGACAGCGAGATAGTACAGGAGGTAAACTTTTTATCCTATAGCTGGGCATTTTGCTAATGTTAGTTTAAGAAAACAAACCAGGAAAACCTTAGAAACAATAATGAAAGCTAATCCTGCCAGACATTGTACTACAAAGTCACTATAAGTAAAACAGAATATTACTGACACATAAAGAGACAGATACAGCAATATAATTGAATAGAAAATAAAAATATATCTAATACCTATATCACAGATTTATATTATAGCAGCATCTCAAATCCGAGGAAGAATTCACAGGAAACTGTATATTTATATAAGAAAGATAGGATCAACTCCTCACAGCACACACCAAAATTCACTCAAAAAGGTTCCAAAATGAAAACATGAAAGTACTAAAAGAAAGCACATCAAAATTCAAGAGTGTTATGAGAAAGGTTTGATTTGTTTAGATAAAGATATAAAGCATCTGGGACATGACTGATTCCAGGTCTAGGCAGGAAATACACAAGATCAACCTGCAATATCTTATTCTGGAGAGAAGAAGGGATCTGTTTCAATGATTTTGTCAAAAGGATGTAAGAATCCACTTGAGTAAGGTTCCACTCTTGGGAAAGACAATGGGAGCACCAATTAGTATAAAATGTCAGTAGAATGAGAGATATCTAATCACAGTGACTCAAAAAGAAAAGCTCATTGTTCTTTGCAAAACAAAATGAGATGTGTGCTAAAAAAGGGTAAAAGAACAAACATGATGGCCTCTCAGTATCTGTACTGCAAATCATAATGCCCAAAAGGCAGGGGTGGGGGGAGACAGAGACAGAGACAGAGACAGAGAGACAGAGAGAGAGAGAGAGAGAGAGAGGGAGAGAGAGAGAGAGAGAGAGAGAGAGAAATCAAAAGTGCTTGCCATAGAAGCAGGCTGGTAGCAGGAAAGATACGGGGAATATTGGTGGTGGGAAATGTACACTGGTGGATATGGGTGTTGGAACATTGTATGACTGAAACCTGATCACAAAAGCTTCCCAACTACCTCTCATGGTCATTCAACAAAAAATAATAATAAATTATAAAAAAGAAAAGAAAAATGCAAGGAAACTAGGTCATTATTTTGAAAAGTGGTAAATCACACAATAACATACCGTTGGGACTGAAGAGATAGCACAGTGGGTAGGATGCTGCTTTGCTTGCAATTGACCTGGGTTTAATCTCTAACACCCCATATGGTCCCCCACATCCCACCAGGAGTGATCCCTGAGTGGGAAACCAGGAGCAACTCTGAGCACAGCAGGTTATGGCCCCCAAACCGAAACAAACAAAAAAAGAGAACGTACTATACCCTGCTGACATGCTGGTGGAAGGGGAAAGGTAGTATTACAAGTACCACTGTCACTGTCACTGTCCTCCCATTGTTCATTGATTTGCTCAAGCGGGCCCAGTAACATTGTGAGACTTGTTATTACTGTGTTTGGCATATCAAATTTGTCATGGGTAGCTTGACAGGTTTTGCCGTGCTGGTGAGATACTCTCGGTAGCTTGCTGCGCTCTCCAAGAGTCTTAAAAAATTAATAATATTGCAAATCACAATAGCTCAATAAAAAGAGCTGATTATAGTCATTGTAACACTAATAAAACAATAAAATAAAAAGAATGATTATTTTCCTTAGAAGCAATAAAATAAATTTATGATGAGGGGGAAGTTTTTTCATTAGAGGAGAGTTATACTAAAACAATGAAGAAAAAAAGTAGATTAGAAGCTCCTTTTTTGGTTTGCTTGGTTAGATTTTGGGCCACACTCCACTACAGTCAGGGCTACTCCAAGTTCTGTGCTCAGGAATTATTCCTAGTGGGCTTGGGGACGATGTGGGACACCAGGTATGAAATCAGATCAACAATTTTCAAGGCTTTTTGCACCATTACTATTTCTCCCTCTGGCCCCAGAAGTTCACCTGTTTAATAAGTTCTAAGTAATCAATCTGGCGAGGCTTATCAACAGATTAAAATTCCTCAGAATGATACAACCCAATGTTATTTATCTCCTGAATTAAGGTCCAGACTATAAGAAAGAGCTCTTAAACAAACAACCCAAAGCTATCAAGTCTCTCTATATGACAAGCAATATACATGAAGTCCATGTGAACCAATCAGCAAAGTCCAGATGGAACACACCACTCTCTTTTTTTCCCCAAGGAAAAAATTTCAATAGAGATAGCAGAAGGGGCCAGAGTGATAATACAGGCAGTAAGGCCTTGCATGAGACTGAACATAGTCCAAATCCCTGGCACCATATATGGTTCCCCAAGTATTACAACCTATGTTTATGACTTCACACAGCCAGGAATAGGCCCGAAGCATCGCTGGGTGCAGTTCAAATGCTCCCCACTACAACACACACACAAATAATGGATGGGTGGCATAATATTCATAAAAGAAACTTAAGAGACATAAAACCATTTGAATTTTAACAGAATTTTTTAGCACCTGATGCAGAAAAATATGAAATATTTTTAAATCAGAAAATATGAAAAGAAATAGAATTTTACTGATATAGTATAAACCACTACTAATTTTTAATTGTGGTATTGGTAAAAAGATGAATTTATTGATAAAATGATTTTTATAAAATTATTCTCTTTTAGACATTTATACAAAAACATCTACAGAGTGATTATCAGAGCCTGGAAAGCTACTCTTGGTGTATTTGAAATGCCAAAAACAGTAACAACAAGTCTCACAATTTGTTTGAGACGTTACTGGTGCCTGCTCGAGCAAATAGATGAACAATGGGAGGACAGTGCTACAGCGCTATCTGCATTTAAAAAATCTGAATAAAGGGAAAGGGTAGAGATTTATATAGAACAAAAATTAACAATTGCTGGTGATTTTTGATGCCAGATACTGCATATACAGGTGCATGATATCACTATTTTCACTTTCACTTATATTTTCAAATCTCCATATTAGATACACTTTAAAAAATTACTTAAAACAGGCATACTTTATCATCTTTCCAAAATACAAACATAGCAACAGAACTCTAAATCAAACGCAGCTGTAGAGAAAGTGTTCTCTGCCTGTCCGTGCTGCATCCACTGGACTGAGATAATAGTGATTCTCCAAAGTGGAATTCTGGGTTCTCAAAGGAAAATGCAGCTTATTTTGCCCAAATGGATGGCATTGAACATTTCTAATGAGTGATTATTTGGGCATTTTTAACCAGGCTCCCAAGAGAATCAGCAAAACACAGTACAACTTACATCTAACTGTATTCTGTACTATAGCCAGAGGTCTCTTCCTAGCTCTTAGGAAGAGCAAGTGACACACATTTTCCCATAAGTTGAAAAGTGGAATCACTGCATTCCTTCCACCGAAATAAAAACTCTATGACAAAACCCTATTACTCCAAGTCACAATTCCTATTTCTCAGAATAATAAAAATTATTCTCACCATACCACGCCTTCCCCAGACCCAACCACTGATTAGGATAGCTGGGCACCATGATTTAATTGTATTTCAACTTTCATCTTAACAGAAAATCCAAATGAATTATAGAAAGACACATCTGGCGTTCAATTTGCTGAACAAACAAGTTGGTAACAACAGCTACATTGTTAAGCTTTGGCTCTTGTGCCCTTGCTGCACATTGGAAGATCTATTCCAAACAGGAGGCTCTTCTGGCCCCATGGCTAAACTCCTACCTTATTTTATGCTGCAACTTCCCAAGAGAAAGTGTTTTAGAAACAGTAAAAACCTTTAGGAGACATACTTAGAAACCCTAGTGTGCAAAGCAGGCCATTTTGATGCAGTTAAAAAAAATTTTTTAACTTTTAATACCTTGAAAGGGAAAGAAAGGAAGGAGGGAGGGAGGGAGGAAGGAAGGGAGGGAGAAAGAAAATGTGTAAAGCCAACATTTTGAATCCATTTTGATAACTCAGTCTGGCTCAGAGTCTCCCCAATTTGGCAGTCACGAATGTAGCCAAGATGACTATTTCATGTTACTTTTCTTTCAAATTAAGTGACTTTCATGGAACCCAGGGAACTACTACTAAACCTCTTGCTCCGTTTAGAGTATCAGTTCATCATTCTACACAATATTTTCCCCCAAACCCTGAAGCTAGCACTAAGATCAAGTATTCAAGTTTTTAGCTGACATGCAGTTCACAACCCACCCTACTCCCAACACCACACCACATGACACACACACACACACACACACACACACACACACACACACACACACCCCTCTGCAGGGATAATTCTTCCTTTGTTGCTGGAATCACTTCTTCATCCCCTACATATCCTAGCTGTTTGCCCCCAAAAGGCCACCTGAGCTAAGACTAAATAGTGTTGAAAACAAAACCAGAACAAAGTTAGCCATCAAAGAAGTTTTCATCTTTGCTCTTTGATACTGTTTAGGTAATATGTGTGAACTTGGAATTAAAGTCCTGGAAAACATACTTACGGGAGAGGTGGAGAGTATTTGTACTATTCAAGGAAGTGAAAATGTATTCTGTGAAATAGTCTGGGGAAGGCAAGTGTCTTTGTCCCAGACAAACCCCTTGGAGGGATAAAGCAATCACAGTGGCAGCCAGCTGGGGAAGGGTATTTTCGTCGGCACCATTACTGTTCAGGATTCCAGACTGTTCCAGCAATGTTCTGGTTTCCATACACTAAAATCAGGTACAAAATCAAGAGAGGACAACATTAGCTTCTGAAGTTATTTTGATCCAAAGTCATCTAGATCTCCCCTCCGACCCTAAAACAATCACCAAGAAATGATTAATTTCAAAATGCATGGGGTGTTTGTGGGAATATGGCCAAGAATAAATTCTGTTCTACACGTTACCATAGATATAATGGATATAAATCCCCTAAATTCCTAGGTTGAAATCACAGTCACTAATATGAGGGCATTGAGGACTGGGGTTTATTCATGATCTTTGAAGTTGAGTAGGTCTAGAGGGGTGAGGCCCTCACAAATGGAATTAGTGCCCCATTTCAGGGAACCTATCCTCCATTCAGCATCAAGAACCAGAGATCAGATGCCTGTCGCTGACCCTGTATGGAGGCTCATGCCTGACAGCAGCTCTCCAGAGAGCCTTGGTCTGAAACTTCCCAATCTCCAGAACCACGAGAAATAAGTTTCCATTGTCCATAGCCACCTTTACAGGGGTTATTTTATTATAGAGACCCAACAGGCTAAGACTCATGCTAACAAATTATTTAAGAGAAAGAAAACCCATTTCCTGACTCCCTTGCAAAAGTATGAGTGACTTCTCAATGAATTATTTGGGAAAAGACAGTTTTAATAATCGTATATTCGATGAACTTTAGCTGCTTAAACTTGCCACGCGGTGCAGAAGAGGTAAAAGAAAAGGTTCGCTGGGACATTCACAAAGAGCACAGGGGAAAGAGTAGCTATTCTAACAGGGAACAGGAGGGAAGGGGAAATACCACTAGGGATCCCAGAGCATAGGCATGCAAGTGAAAACCATAGGTTGGGGAGGTGGCTCAAAGGACTGAACACAGGCTTGGCATTCAAGAGTCCTAGGTTCAATCCCTGGCACCATATGATCCCCAGAGGAGAGGGGAGAAGAGAGGGGACAGGACTGGAGGTGAGTAAAGAGGAGGGGAGAAGGTAGGGAGGGAAAGAGAGGGGAGGAGGGAAGGAAGGAAAAGGAGGGGAGGAGGAAGGAGAAGAAGAGAGGGGAGAAAGTAGGGAGGAAAGGTGATGGGAGGGAAGGAGAGGAGGTAGAAAGGGAAGGGGAGGGGAGATGAGGGAAGGAGGTAGGGAGAGAAGAGATGGGGAGAGGAGGGAAGGAGAGGAGGTAGAAAGGGAAGGGGAGGAAAGATGAGGGGAGGAGATAGGGAGGGCAGGGGAGGGGAGAGGAGGGGAAGACATAGGAAGAGGAAGAGAGGGGAGGGGAGGAGAGGGATGGGAGGAAAAGGGAGGGGAGGATGTAGGAAGGGAAGGGGAGGTGAGGGGAGAAGGTAGGGAGGTGAGGGGAGGAGGTAGGGAGGGAAGAGGAGGGGAGAGCAGAGGAGGAGAAGAGGTAGAGAGGGAAGGGGAAGGGAGGGGAGGGCAGAGGGAGGAAAGGGGAGGGGAAAGGAGGTGAGGAGATAGAAAGGAGAGGAGAGGGGAGGGGAGGGCATGGGAGAGGGGGAGAGGAGGAGGTAGAGAGGAAAGGGGAGGTGAGGGGGGAGGGAGGGAGGGAGAGAGGGAGGGAAAGGAAGGGGAGAAGAGAAGGTAGGAAGGGAAGGAGAGGGAAGGGGAAACTGCTAACTCGCATCAAAGCTACCCACTGCTCTGCTGAGATAGCTGATGATTAAAAACATCTCTTCCAAATTGATCCATCCTTCTCCTTCCCTGGCCAAAATACAAGGCAAACTGCCACACTGTACTCACGCTCCATTGCACACTGTGGAACTTAGTCCAAAACTGTGAGTCACACCTATTTAAATGCTCAGGAAATGCAGAGGGATGAAAGCTGTCCCGTCATCCACCCAACCACCTACCCAACTCGTGGCTAAGTCTCCTATGATCATGAGTTATTCTCTTTCCCCTTTCCTGAAGTTCTGTCACCAACCGCCTTTGACTGAAATCCCTGAAATGCTTCACTCACTTAGGATGCCTCAAACATTTTTGGTCTAACTCCAGGCTTGCTTTGCCCTTCTTACCTGGTTTCTTGAAGGTTCAAAGTACTTCCAGGTGAGGGCCAGGATATCTTCGGTTTCATTCTGAGACAGGAAGGAAGGGTCTTCATCCTGCCGGAGCCTAAGAAGGCCACGCAAGTAAAAGTCATATCCTTCGTGACTCATGTTGAGTTTGGAGGAGCAGACTTCTTCCCGGTGAATAATGTAATAGAGGAGAAGAAGCGACAGCCTCTGGGCCACTTCCTCTCTGGGTGGCCCTTCAGAATCTCCTCCAGCCATGAGTAACAGAGCATCTGGCTCAAAGCACTGTGCAAAATAAGGAAGGAACAAAAACGCTTTGCAAACACACTGGGTTCTCAACAACACAGGTTTGAAGTGAGCAAGTCGGTCCACTTCCATGGAAATCTTTGTAAATGTCAGGTTTTGATAAACACAGTTTGCAACTATAAATATATTTTGCAACTATAAATATATTCTTTATTTCTTGTGATTTTCTAAATCACGGTTCCTGCTCTGTGGTTAACTTTATTCTAATAACGTATGCCATGCATATCACAGAGAAAAGATGCATCCATCAACTCTCTCATGGATTAAGACAGAATTATGGTCAACTTTGAGCAGACAAAGTTCTGCTCAAATTGTCTCTGTGTTGGGGACACCCCTAATTGCCACTCCTTATTCGGGGTCAACTGTAGGACCACACCACAAGTCTTTGCTGCTTATCATTGTGGGAGGAGGGACGGGAGAAAAGCCAGATCCAAGTAAGAGAGGTCAGGCTTCCCTCCTTCTTGGGAGGCCTTTGCTGAGAGCTGTCTACCCTTCCTCCCTGTGCAACTGCAGAACTACAAGTTGTAGGTTAGCTGCTTTAGGGAGCTTGGTCCTTCCATTATTCATTGATTTGCTCGAGCGGGCCCAGTAACATCTCCATCATGAGACTTGTTGTTACTGTGTTTGGCAAATTGAATACATCACGGGTAGCTTGCCAGGCTTTGCCGTGCAGGCGAGATACTCTCAGTAGCTTGCCGGGCTCTCCGAGAGGGGCGGAGGAATCGAACTCCGGTCAGCCATATTGGTCGCTTGCAAGGCAAACGCCTTACCTCCTGTGCTATTGCTCCAGCCCGCTTTAGGGAGCACCCCCTACCATTGGAAATAGATGCCCCCCTCCAACCCAGAAAGAGAATAAAAGCCAATGTGTCAGCATGAGGGTCACTGAAAAAGTTTCCATGGGCACTTTCACAGGTATTAGGAAAATGGGTGGAATTATTTTAGCAGTGGAGTTTAATTGCCACTTTAGGGCTGGGGACTGGCTCCATGTAGAACACCTGCCTGGCAAGAATCACACCTAGGTTCTATCTCCACAACACACACACACACACACACACAGAAATACACACACACAAGCACACGGACACAGACACACATGCATACACACGAGCATAAAGTTTCTAGTTGTGCAAAGCAAGGTTTTAGATTGCTACAGAATTATAGAATGTTTTTCACAAGCAACTTGACTCTGTGTGTTGAGCTACATCTTGGGGACCTGGTGCAGATCCCACACCACCACTGGGATGAGACACTCTCCCAGGGGCCCTAGTAGCTGCAGGCAAGTGACAGTTTGGGCAATCTGTCTGTTACTCTCTTCACAGCTTTTGTTTTTGTTTCTTAGGGCCACTTCTGACAGTGCCCAAAGCTTACTCCAGACTCAGAAATAATTCCTGGTGGTGCTTGGGGGGGGGGGGGCAATGGGATGCTGGGGATGGAATCTGGGTCAATCCCATGCTAGGTGAGAGCCTTACCCACTGCGCTATTGCTCTGGCCCTACATCAGTTTTTTTTTCTTTTTTTTGCTTTTTGGGTCACACCCATATATGCTAAGGGGTTACTCCTGGCTCTGCACTCAGGAATTACTCCACTCCTGCAGTGCTCGGGGGGACCATATGGGATGCTGGGAATTGAACCCGGGTGAGCCGTGTGCAAGGCAAACGCCCTAGCCGCTGTGCTATCACTCCAGCCCCCCGGTTTTCTAATATGACTGTCTATGAGATTTTTTCCTCTCTCACCCCATGAGCACAGGACCCACAGGAATGGGGTTTCATCTGCTTGGTGTGCTTCTATTATCAGTGCTCACCCAGTGCCTGGTACTAAATGTGCTTTCCCTGCTCCAAACATAAGCTCTGAACCCATCGATAAAGTGAAAGTGTAGCCCCTTCATCAGGTTGCTCACTTTCTTCTCCCCCTGCAGCCCTCCCCTGCCCCCAGTCTGGTATGAAGCGAGGCTGACTCAGAGCCTAGAGATCAGAGGATTCCGGACGCCATCAATAAGCACATGGCATAACTAGAGTGTTGGGTGATTCACTGGCTGGACAGTCAGGTGCCCATCAGGCTGTGGAAGGTGCTGGGGAGGTAGAAAAAAAGACCACTAATGACAGCAGACATCGGGCTTCCAAAAGGATACCAGACCAGGCGTGTTGAGGGCACACTGTGTTCCTATAGCTACTCTATGTCCCCTCATCCATTTGTGGCTGTTCCTCCACAGTTTGCTGCCTATTGCTCTGAGCAGAATGAGAAAGGAGTGACGTGGGGCAGCCAACTGGATAAGATCCGTCACCCTCCAGCTGTCCCTAGTGAACAGGTACAAGGAACCATCAGGTGTGGTGAGGGAGGTGAACTATTTCTGACTCTGAGAAGTTGTAGAGGGCTCGCATGGTGGCACAGAAGCCAAGGGGCCTGCCTTGCATGCAGTTGACCCAGGTTCAGAAGGCATGTTCCTGCTCCTTCTATAATCGCTGCACCTCCCATTAGCAGAAGGCGCATCACCAGACAAGGCAGCTCTTGGGGCCATGCAGAGAGTTAGTGGGGACCGGACTTTCCACTTCATTACCCATACGCTGGTTGGAGTTGCTGACGTTTCCAGCTGTGACTTGGGCACTGTGTGAGTGGATGTCAGTGAAATGTTGCAAATGCTGCTGCCTCACAGGCTTTAAGATCCATCCATGGAGCTGGAGCTATAGTACAGCAGGTAGGGCATTTGCCTTGCAAGTGGCTGACCCGGGTTCGATCTCCAGCATACTATATGGTCCCCTGCATACCACCAATAGTAATTCCTGAGTGCAGAGCCAGGAGTACCCCTGAGCATCACCGGGTCTCTCTCTCTCTCTCTCTCTCTCTCTCTCTCTCTCTCTCTCTCTCTCTCTCTCTCTCACAAACACACACACACACACACACACGATTCATCCATGTACCTGCCACAAAGGTAGGGAGTGGGATGGGGTGGTGTGGTGGGTGGGACACTGGAAACAATGGTGGTGGAAAATGTGCACTGGTGGAGGCGTGGATGCTGGAGCATTGTGTGACTGAAACATAATCATGTACATTTGCAACTGTATTTCATGGTGATCCAATAAAATTTATTAAAAAAAATCCATCCAGGGCCCTGAAGCTGGTGCAGGCATTTTTTTGTAAAAAAAGAAAGGACTCATTCAGGCATAATCCATTGATTTGCCTCTTAATCATGTCAGGTGGAGCAGAAGGTTTCAGGGAGAAAACACAGATTATGTCATTCTTTTTGAAGGCTTAATAATAAGAGGGTTTGGGGGAATAAAATTTAATGCAGAAAGTCAACTTAAGCCCTCCCCAACTTAAAATACAAGAAGCCTTAACCAATTTAAGATACAAGAAGCCCTCCTTAATAAATTAACTGGATAACCAGAATAGTTGATAGAATTTTCTAGAGCATCAAATCTTGATGCTCAGTTCAAGTTCAAGTTCAGCTTTGCATATGCCAATGGAGGGCCCTGGGGATCAAAAGCAAAGGTGATAAGTTATTCCACCGTGTCATTTAGTTGGCGATTGCCAGACCTGTAGGGTTTTTAGCTCCAAAGAGATTTAAAATTTGATTTGATTTAAGAACAAATCCACTGCCCTCTTTATCAGTCTTAGGCTCTGGGGAGCAGCCTAGCAATGCAGCTGAAGCACAAGACAACAATAGACTCTTTTCCCTGCCAACCCAGGGGCCAGAAGGATGAGAAATGGTGACAGAAGGACTAGGCTCTGGGTGGGTTTTTGTGGGTGTTATACTAGAATTCGTGGCATCTTAAACTGACAAAAACATCTTAAGCGAGACGAGTTAAAAAATAAACTTGCTGGATCATCAAGACAAAACTTTCCACTTTACCAATGAGACAAATATCATCAGGGAGATACAGTGGGGGGAGAGAGAGGGGGAGAGAGAGAAAGAGAGACAGAGAGAGAGAGAGAGAGGTGAGTGGGAAGAGGGAGAGAAAGGACTTGAAAGAAGCAGTTCTTCACCCACCAAGGGAGATGAAGGGCTGGAAGCCGACCCAGAGGTGGCAGGATTCGCCATTCTCTGCTGCACCACAAAGCCATGCAAATATGTTATGGAGAAAGGAAGAATCCAGGGATGACCAGCAGAGACCTGGAACACAGGAGCCAGAGACCTCAGCTCCTGTGTAAGCACCTGCCCCACACGTGTGTCCCTGCAGGGCTGCCTGAGGAGGTGGCCTTTACCTTGTTTTATGGATGGGGACATGGAGGTCCAGTGTGACCCCATGCCTAGAAGGTGCCAGAACATAGTGCTGCTGACTCAGCTCCATTTTCCTTCACCTGCAGCTGGGAGGGACGTTGTAGTTCCATTGTTGGCAAAGTGGGATTTATTCTTGAGTGACGCTTAATACGTCACTGAGTTCATGAAGGGTCCCTCTTCCCTGCCTCATTGGAATTATGTTCACAGGAAACTGTTGTGAACGGTATGGCCAATCACGAAACTTCCATCAATGAAAAGCCAAGAGTTACCATGAGACCACATTATTCATTTTTCAAAAGGTCGCACCTTAAATGGATTTATTTATAAATGAGCGCTGTTCTTCAAGACTTCTGATCACTTTGCAAGGAAATGAAAACCCCATTCCAGTGGGTTCTAAAATAAAATCACAACTAAAAATTTTCTCCCCACAAATCCGAGATGTAAAGTGTCCTCTCTTACACCCCTTTCTGCTAGGCATTCAGAAGTATGAAATAACCCTTTCACCCTCTCTGTATCACAGCCTTTCTCAAATTAACCTTGCTTCAAAGACCCAAAAGAATCACCCATCCACAAGCTTGAGTCCTGGATTCAGCCCAGTAGTAGGCTGGGGGGCTCAGAACATGTTTTTCCCCCAGGTTTTTATGAAACATGCACTATTTAATGGCTTCTGAGTATTTCAGTGGCACCTCCCCACCACACACACACACACACACACACACACACACACACACAATCCAGTCAGAGAAACCAACTGACACTGG